CGAGCGTCTCGAAAGAATCAAAACAATTGTTTTTCATAGTTTTCGGCCTCTAGGAGCCCTTACCAGGCCTGGGGACCGTCAAAACACTACTCAGGATGAACAACCGGTCGCGGGGACGTGGTCGAGAGGCAGGGGGCCCCTGTCTCGAAACAATCGAGACGCCAGGTATGTCCTCTTCCGTCCGCGCTCGCCGGGGGTAGCTTTTCGGCTGCACTTCCAGTCGGGCCGCGGAAAGAAGGACCGCTAAGTCAGGAACATAGCCCCGTTTGGGCCTGACAGCGCCACCGTGCCCGAGGAGGGCATGAGGGACAGCTACAGAGGAACCTGAGGAGCATCGAGCTCCGTCCGAACCCAAGCTGTTCCTGATTTCAGCGTCTTGACGGTATTTTGATGGGCACAGGGCCTCAAAAAGGGCCCACGGGGGGCCGAAAGCGAGGAAGAATGATCAAACAGAAGAAAAGAGCATCAGGTCGTCGGAGCTCTGGGTCCCGTGGGAACGCCTGCTGGGAAGGCAGCTCTCGGTCCGTGTCGTCGGCCATCAGGGGCTCTGCCCTCGATCCCCAGCGTGTCCGCCCTGAAGCGCGGAGGAGGAGGAGGCTTCTGGCCCCCACCCTTTCACTGGAGGGGAATATTAGCAGGAGAAGGGAGGAGGAGGGAGGAAGCAGGTAAGCAAGCGCCATCTCATGGGGTCCTGGTGCAACGCTGTGGTCTGATGGAGCAGACAGGTTAAAGCCTTGCGAAGTAGGAGGGGCTTTTCTTTGTGTGCGCCAACCTACCTTTGAACATGGGTCCCGTGCCATCGCCCAAACGACGAACTGCTGGAGGAGGAGGAGGAAGAGGAGAAGGACATAAGGAACCCACTAGAAGCGAGTGAGCGCCTAAACCCAAGAAGATGTTCCCAGATTGTGCGTTCTCCATATGCGTAGCGGGGTTTGAACCCGCAGTTGGCCTTCTGGGGAGGAGGATGAGGAGGAAGAGGAGTAGGAGGATGAGGAGGAGGATAATCATGATGATGATGATGATGATGATGATGATGATGATGATGCTGATGATGATGATGATGATGATGATGATGATGATGATGATGACGATGACGATGACGATGACGATGACGATGATGATGATGATGATAATAATGATGATGATGATGATGAGGAGGAGGAGGAGGAGAAGCAGGAGGAGGAGGAGGAGGAGGAGCAGCACGAGCGATTGAGCAATTCCAGCCCCAACTTCGCTAAGGCGGCTGGGCCCGCCCGCGATCTGTCCGCAAACAAGCCGCGCCGGGGCCCGCGCGGTGGCAACCGAAATCGACAACGGCGCTGACGTCCGGGATCGTGAGGGACGACTCGGCTATGTTGGTTGCCAACACGATGCGCCACTCGCCTGCGGGCGCGATGGGACTGCACTGCACTGAACTCTGGCATGAGCGAAGCGGATCCTGAGGTAAGCTCGGCTGCACGCAAGAGTGACCTCTGGTGCATGAGTCACCTCTGGTGCGCGGCTTTCGGAGGCCGCGGGGGCTCGATATCTACGCGGGCAGGCCAGCGATTGGGGGACCCCATTGGGCCCGCACCAGAGGTCTCTCTGGCGAAGGGTCTTTCCGGCGAAGCTCGACCGCCAGAACGGAAGTTTCCGATCCTCTGGTGGGCAGGACCCCTCTCCTGAATGGCGAGCTGCACTGCCTTCCCCCTTCCCCCCCCCGACTCTTCCCTCTGGGAGGTTGCCCGAGAGGTTCCTCAACTTGAGGGAGCCACGGAACTGTTTTTTTGTTTTTCTTCTGCGCGAATCAAGTGCCCAGATGGCTTTGTGGATGCCTCTCCAATCGTGCCGCCGAGGGAGGTGTGAAACATGTGGGCGGAACAGAGCGGAGGACGATGACAGGGAACCCATACCGAAGTACCGCGCGCGGGATCTCCACGGCCCAGCCAGCCATTTATACAAACACAACAAGGGCAGCAAGGCTGGGAGGGAGAGAGAGAGAGAGAGGGAGAGAGAGAGAGAGAGAGAGAAAGAAAGAGAGAGAGAGAGAGAGAGAGATGGAGAAAGAGAGAGCGATAGATAGAGAGAGAGAGAGACAGAGAGAGAGAGATAGAACACACGAATGATATATACATGTTTCCAACACATATATATATATATAGATCTCTCTCTCTATATATATGTATATATATATATATCGAGAGAGAGAGGGGAAAGAGAGAGAGAGAGAGACAACGAGAGACTCACCAACCCGGTAATTAACTTAAGCCAACTCATATTTTAGCATGGCTTCCTCATGCGTGGTGCGTCACACTGTGGTCTAAGTCCTGAAATTTTGCCTCTCCCCCTGCCCCATCTCCCTGGGTCTGGAGGGGCCTGGTCGCAAGTCTTCAAATTTAGAGCGCCCAAGATAGCCCCAAGTAGCCCAAGATGGCTTCCAATACCGTGAAAGATAAGCAAACACGGCTCAAGCTAGCTTCCAGCATGCCTCCAAGCGGCGCCGTGACCGTCCCAAGACCGCCCCAGGTGGCCACGGAGCCTCCCAATGACCCCCCGAGAAGCCAGAATCTTGCCAAAACCTTACGGACATCTATGCTTTATGTCTTCTCGCGTTCTTGCTCCCGCTGGGCTCTTGAGGCCTCAAGACGGCTCCAAAATGACCTCAGAGAGCCCCAAGGGGGGCCCACGAAGGCCTCAATACGGCCCCAGGTACGCCCCAAGAGGCAAGTTTTCGGCTCCGGGACTGTAATGAAGACCCCTCCGTTCTTTTGATCGATGGCCTCCGAGAAGGCTCCAAGAGAGCACAACGAAAGCCCCAAAGGCCTCCAACATTGCCCCTGCACGAGGGCCCCGAGAGGGCCACAGTGGGGCCCCACGATGTCCCCAAGATGCACCCAAGAGGCTCCTAGTTATAGCGCGACTGCGTGCTGCTACATATCCCTGATCAGGGCAACTCGCCTTGTGATTGTTTCTGGATGGGCTGGCGGGGATACTTGAAGAGTCAACAGCTGATTTCTTCTTACGGCTTGGGAAGGCCACAAAAAGCTACCAGCTGCGCCCGGAAAAAGACTTCATACTGCCCTTCGCTGTGGAACCCATGTGCTCCCCGACAAGGCTCTGCACATCCGACGGCGCGCTCTTGTGGGCCGACATGTCCAGTCGAAATGTTCCAGCACTGTCCAGCTCAAAACAATCCCCTCGCGGTCTGGGTTGTCCTCATGGCCCGGTCATTTTCGTGGTCGTCCTCTCTCCATTCTTCGTCCTCGTCCGTGTGAGCGCGGCAGTCCCATGTCATCGCGCCGAGAGGAGGCGATGAACATGGAATATCAAAAGTGGATAACGAGGAAATGGACGATGAATAAGGAGGTCGGGACAACGAGTGGGGGGAGGAGGACAATGGGCGATGGCCGACAGAGGAGGAGAGGACATTCTGCGACAAGATGCGCAAACCTGAGCGGATCAACTCGGGAGGCAAGCGCACACCAAGCAGCAAGTGGCAGGTTCCGGAATCCCTGAACCCAAACATGTTGTCATCCATCTTGGGGGCGCATCTCTTGCTTCCGCTGGCATCCGCCAGCCTTCCGCCAGCGGAGGCGCCCTCGTTTTACTTCCGCGGGCTTCCGCCGCCCTTCCGCCGCGGGAGATTGGCGGCACGCACCAGGGGGTAGGGGGAGGGGGGAAGGCTTCTTAGAAAGAGGCCGCTTCTTAGAAGGCGCTGGCCCTAAGTCTAGACAAGGCCCGCATCTTCTAATAAACAGGGGCGCTTTTAAGAAGCCTTCCCCCCTCCCCCTACCCCCCTCTGCGCCTTCCGCGGAGGGAGAGATGCCAACTCGTTTGCGAGGCGGGCATCCATTCTATCCATTGGCTGCCAGGCAGTGGTTATGTATAAATCCCCGCCTCGAATCCTTCGATCCTCGAAGGCGAGGCCTTTTCTGGAGCGCCCCACGCGGGGGTCGCCTCCAGAGGCCCTCTCTGTAGTGCCGGGAGGGAGCGACAACACCGATCCCTCCAACAACTTCTCGCGCGTGATCGCGCGCGCCGCCCCCCCCCCCCATACGCTCCTGGAGGCCTCCCAAGTAGGGTCCGATGCGATGGGGTCTGAGGATCGCGCCGCATCGAACAAACATCGCGCTGATGGTGGGCGAGAGCAAAAGGATGACGCATGTGATTCTCCCGATTTCCCTTCTCATCTACTCTCTACTACATACTATACTCCCTGCGCCCTGCTATATACTCATTACTATTTCCCTTGCCATCTACTCTCTACTACATACTATACTCTCTGCGCCCTGCTATACATTCATTACTATGCTTTGTATGCTCTTCACTCTCACTCTCTAACTCTCCCCTTGTGCGCCAAAGCCTCACTTGACAACTTGGGATCTGGAACCCGTAGCAACCAGGAAGTGTGGAACTTCACATGCTCTATATACCATGTGTTCTCCACTCTCTTCGCTTTGCTTTTTCTCTCAACTCTAATGTCCATTCTCCACTTTTCATATCTGCTCAACTCTACTCTCTATCATTCTCCCTCCTTCGCCAAATCCTTACACTACCGAAAACCTAGACCCTGTAACCCGCAACCAAAGAAAACCGCCCACCGAAATCGGCAACTCACTCTCGGGAATCCAAGAATCTCAAAAAACTGGACGCCCACCAAAACCGGCCAGATACTCTTGCGACACCCTTGTAATATCGGGGACCCAGGAACGCGGCCGAAACCGAGATCGCCAGAAATATCGGGACGGACTCATCCAGTCTTTGGGGAACTATGGCCCCAGCAATGCACCCTGATAGCAACGAAGCGCGGCAATGTGCACTTTTGTGCACTTTTGCAAAGACATATTGTGGCCGTCCACACCAAACATGTGACCCAGCAGTGGTGCGAGAACACGTTTCCAGATCCAGTTTTGAGGAAGCCTCAAGCGAAACGGCCGTCGGACTCGGCGTCTTCGGCTGCCGGACCTGGCGTCCTCAGGCTCCCCGTCCCCCCTGTGGGACTCTTCCGCGGTTCTTTCTTACGAGCGAAGCGCTATCAGGGAACCTGATATTGCCACGAACCCCGACCTGAAAATGGAGGTGGGGATGATTGGTGAGAGCGGCAGGGACAAGGAAGGAGTGGCCTGTTGTGGGCTTGGTTAGACGACGGGGAAGACGTCCGACGAAGAAATATGTATAATCATGGTTACAAGCGAAGCGCTATCGGGGAAAACGTGCGCTGAGCACGCGACCTCATGCTTCGCCACGTGCTGGAGAGAGATCTGCGGTCTCGCCTCCAGTCCTCCCTCCACGCCGCGTCCCCCTCCGACTACTAGTCCTCCTCCGCCGCCGCCTCCCCCTCCACTTCCTCGATGCTCTCCCTCCTCTTCCTCGACCCCTTCCTCGACCTCTCCCTCCTCCGTTCCACTTGTCATCGTCCTGTCCCCGCCCTCCCCTCTGCCCCTCCTCCCTCCTCTTCCTCCTCCTCCCACCCCCTGGGTGCCTGGCTGGATTGGATCCAGCGCCCCCTCGTAGATTTCCGAGTCGAGCGCGGAGTGCATGGTGAAGACGCGGGGGGGATTCTGGGCCCAGCCGCGGTGATTGACCTCCACCGGAGCAGGCCGTCGCTCTGAGAGGAGGAACGGCAATGCCGATGACGATGGCGTATGATAATGCCGATGGCGATGATGCTGGTGATGATGACGAGGATGCCTATGACGATGCTGACGATGCTGATGCGGATGCTGATGGCGATGGTGATGCTGATTTTAGATCGCCCCCCCTCCATCACCTGGAGGTGAGTGGATACACGCCACGCAGAAGGTTTGATGATAGTGACGACGGTGACGAGGCCGATGCTGACGCTAATGTTGATGATGCTGCTGCTGATGATGCTGATGACGATGATGATAGTGATAATGCTGATGCTGATACTGCTGCTGCTGATGATGATGATGATGATGATGATGCTGACGGTGTGATGATGATGACGGTGTGATGACGATGGTGGTGGTGATGCCGATTATGATGACGATGACGACGATGATGCTGTTGCTGCTGATGATGCAGATGCTGCTGATGATGCTGATGCTGCTACTGATGCGGGTGATACTGCTGCTGCTGCGGCTGATGATGATGATGATGATGATGATGATGATGCTGTTGCTGCTGATGCTGCTGATGATGATCATCATACTAGAGCTTCTGCTACTGAAGATGATGGCGATGATGCTGCTCCCGCTTGTCGTGATGCTGCTGCTGCTGGTGCCAGTGCTGACCATTCTGGTGATGATGCGCTGCCTTCGGACAGTCAAGAGGAGTGCTCAGCGGCCGCCTCTAGCAGAAGCGCGCCGCTCCTGTCCAGGCTGCCGCACGGGCGCCACGGGATCCTCCTGGGAGGCAACGGTCTGTTTTTTTTTCGGGGGGGGGGGGACCAGTCCAGGGGGGGAAGCATCGACCTGTAGTCTGCGATGCATCGCCGACAGGCTGGCGACAGGACCCCGAGAACCAGCGAGACCGCACGCTCCTGGGCGGGGCGGGCCATCGGGCCCCTGTCGGCGATCGATGGGCGATTGGGGGGTCGATGGGCCCCCCCCCCCCGAGGCGCGCCTCCCCGGACGGTGGCCCTGACCTTCTGCTCCCCGGACGGTGGCCCGGACGGGCCACAGCTGGGGCCTCCAGCGGGCCGTGCGGGGCGAGCAGGGCACCCGCAGCACGCCCGCGGCGAGGCGCAGGCGCACCCCGAGGCCGGACGACCGACGGGAACAGGCGAACACGCCGGAAGATCTCGAACCCAGCGTCCCTCCTGAATGTAAATCGGGCGTGTCCCCCTACGGGGGGATTGTCGACGAAAAATAAAAGATACTAAAACATACTCCCAAATGGTAAAACATACTCCAAAGATAATCCCCAGCCTATTTTTGACTATTTTTGAACTTTCCCCCTGCTGAGGGACGGTCCCGACTTGACCCTGAATCAATCCCCCCTGGCATTGTCCCAGATCTCCCCGCGCCATCCCCCGCGCGATGTGGCGGCTGCGGCGGCGGCGCGAGACTGCTGGGCAGAACAAACAAACTGCCTGTCTCGGGAAAATCCCTGAGATGCGGGCGTTGTGTTTGTTTCACGCGCCAAGCGTGCTCACCTGCTCACCCAACTTCGGGCCCCAAGACTCTCCCGGATCGATCGTCTTCAAAAAACACCGCAAAAAAATCTAGGTCGAGGGCTCCGTTCGTGACTTTCCACGATGTTGTAATTTTGGCGACGTCGGATCTCAGGGGAGGGCTGCCCTTATCTCAGGGGAGGGCTGCCCTTAATCCGGGATCGATCGGATCGCCGGCATTGCCCAGAGGTTCTCCCGTAGCGGACAATGTATGGCGATTACTGTTGCCCATTGTCAATCCCATGTTTTTCGTGTCACGGCATCTTTTTCCGCGACGTCGGATCTCAAGGAACGGGGCGCCAATGGGCGCCCCCATGCCTCGCGGGACACCGCAAGGACTCCAGAGGCACATGTGCGTGCCAGTCCCGTCGCGAAGCCAGCAGCGGTCGCTGCTGGGCAGGCGACAAGTGTCCCACACGGACAAAGTCCGCGGCGACGCTGACAACGAATGCTGCCCAGAATGGGCAGGAACTGCTGTCAGTCTTCGTCCCCGCTTATTCGCTCCGGTCGTGCCGAGAGGAAAGAGGGGCACCCCACAATTCTCGCTGGACGCCGTCGGGTTTGCAACTGCACCTGCGGTCGGCGACTGTTGCTTAGAGTGTCGCGGCGGCAGCCCCAACGACACGCCGTGCCCTTCAAACTGATGGCGTGTCGCTCCGCTTCGTGTGGGGGGGCTGGAAGAAGGCTCGGAGTGTTGATGCTTGGGGAGTGGGGCGTGCCTAGCGTGTCGCGCCGAAACTTTGTGGGTCAGGACCGGCTGCGCGACACTTTTTAAGCCAACGGGCGCAAGCGGGTCGAAGCCGGTGCAAGCGCTGGTCGGGCTGCGGGCGGGACGCGCCGGGAACGAGGGGGGGCACAGAAAACGGAGGGGGGCGCAGGTAAGAGCGAACCGAGGCGGGAGCCGCTCGGAACGCGTGGTCTCTCGCGGGCGTGCCGTCTGTGCCCGGCTGCGCGACACGCTGAGCAAACATTCCTGCTCGTAGCGCTCGATTCAGGGCCGTGTTTGGTCGCCTGACATCGCGCAGCGCGCCTCCGCGGTGCGCGGCGCGCGGTTCGCTTCGCGCCCCCGCGCTGCCGCGTAAAGAGCGGGCGCGCTTTCCTGGGCCCAAGCCGCGACGAGCGAGCGTCGGGTGTCTTCGCGGCCCGCGGGTGGCCTGCGTGTGTCGCCGCAATTGACGAGACACCGCTGGGCACCCTTCGCCGACAGGGTCATCGCTGAATTGCTCCTTCGAAGTCGTGGGGCGCTTTGGCCACTCGTTGCAGGATTGCATCCCCGAAGATGAAAAAGGCGCATCTGGGCACTGCTTGCTGAGCGGCCCCCGGCTGCGCACGTCGATGCGCATGTCTCAAATGTGGTGGCTAGGGGCAAGCTCTGCGTTGGTGGGCGCTGGTTGGTCGTCACCCGTCAAATGCCCCATTGTTGTCCCTTTCTTCGCGACGCAACTTGTATGGAGGCTGGCGTCATGCCTCAGCGAAGGGCGTGAACACACGGCAAATGGCTTCTTCTGGCCTCCAGCGCTGCGCTGTCGGTCTCAAAACCTCCCTCGCCTTTTTCTCCCTCGCCCTCTCCTGCTTCCTCCTTTTCATCCTCCTGTTCCCTCCTGCTCCCTCCTTCGTTCTCTTGCCCGCCCTCTCTCCCTCGCTCCCTCCCCCCCTCCCCTCCCCTCCTCACAACTACTCGGCATGATTACTTCTCTCTTCCCTCTCTCTCTCAATGTCTCCGTCTCTCTCTCTCTCTCTCTTTCTGGACCCAGCCCGAGCGTGGCCACTTTTCTCCCGCACAATGTTTTCAAACGTTCAGGAGTTCCACATGTCATCCATTCGGAACGTTTCCGGCGTTTCACAATTTTGCTCCCGCTGCGGCGTCGGCCTCAACTTCGGATCGACGCTTTGCCCCCGTCGTCAGAATGGCGCTCTCGCTCCAGCGCGTGCTGCAATTCTGGATTCAAATCGTTGCTCTTCGTGTCGCCCCGCTCTTTTCCCCTTGCCTGCCTTCCCCTGGTCCTCCTGCTCTTCCCGTTCCTCGCGCTCCTGCTGCTGCTGCTGCTGCTGCTGGTGTTCCTCCTCGTCCTATTCTTGTCCTTTTCCTCATACCCCTCCTCATTCTCATCTGGCACCCCCTCCTCCTCCAGGGTGCACAGCTCCACTTCTCGGATGGTGCACGACACGAAGGGGCCCTTGTTGGGGGGCTTCACGCCAGCCATATCGCCCGTCGGCAGATCAAGACAGTTCAGCGCAACAGGGCGGGATGGGTGGGCATGTGGGACGCCCGACGCGGCACAATCGCCTCCTTCCTGTCTCCTCCCTTCGGCTGAAGCCAATTTCGGGGTCCCTGGTGGCCGTGGGCACAGTCGAACGCCCACGTCGGCCACGAGGCTCGGCGCGGTGGCGCCCGAACCCCAGTTGCGTCGAACTTCGAACCCGACCAAAGATCGGACATAATCCCATCGCGTCCTCCTCCTCCTCCTCCTCCTTCTCCTCCTCCTCCTCCTCCTTTTCCTCCTCCTCCTCCTCCTCCTCCTGCGGTTCCAAGGGCTCGTGCGTCGCCCCCCGGGCCCCCTGTGCTTCGCCCGTACCTTCGCCACGCAATGGAGCAACCCCAACACCCGGCAGAGCAGCTTCGCCGCGCCTGCCTGTTTCCTTCTCCTCCTCCTCCTCCTCCTCCTCCTCCTCCTCCTCCTCCTCCTATTTCGGCCCCCCTCCCGGGTAACTTCGCCACCCGATGAAGCAGATTCGCCGCGCCCGCCTCATTCTCTACCTCCTCCTCCGTTCCCTTTCCGACCGCCTGACGCGCGCCCGTGGTCGGGCGGCGCGCCTGGTCGGGCCGCCCTGCGCGGGCACTTATAGCTCCCACAGGCGGGCCTCCTAGCGCCCAGCCCGCGGCGGCCCCTTTGCGCGGCCACGGGGCGTAGGCGGTGGCGCCCGACGCTGCCGCGGGGGGGCCCTGCCCGCCAGCCCCCCGGGGAGGGGGTCCCCCAGCGGTCTCCCCAGCGCCGGGCTGGACGAGTGCCGCTCGGGGGGTGGCGCCCCCGGCGGCGCCCGGAGGCGGCTTGCTGCAGGAAATAGCAGAACCAGCGTTGCGCTACACCTGCGCTGGCCGCCCCCGAGTGTCCGCCGGCGGCCTCTGCAAGGCCCCCGGGTCGTTGATCCGCTCGATAAGAACCCCGGCAGGCCGCGCCCAGGGGCCGGCCGGCCGGGGCCGCCGGGGCTTGTCGCCCGGGGGGGCCCAAGAACGCCCGCGGGCTCCGCTGATTACAAACGCGGGTTGCGATCAGCGGGCCGCGGGGCGGCCCCGGGCCTGAATTCCGAAGAGCCTCAAGAAGTCCCCGAAGTCCTCGAAGTCGTAACCTCGCTCCTCGGATCTCGCAAAACTTGTCGCAATTGATTTTCCAGGAAAATCAAGTCCTCAGCGATGTAGATGAGCACCTTTTGCTCTCCGAAAGCGAT